AATGTATTGGTGAAATTATTAAAGGTCCTACGGTATTATTTGTGAATCTAGTGAAATTTTACTGACAGTTTTCAACACACCATTGCTATTGATCCTTTTTTTGATCTGGTAATTATATTTGAGTTGATGAAAATGAATATTCAATGAGTATATTCAGTTTTGAGAATCCAGCTTCAATTTTGCATCTATAATGACTAGTATAATGTGAGTTAAGAGCTTTACCTCTTCTGGAAGCTCAATAATGTCTACTAAAACTATTGAGAAAAGGATATGTCAGGGTTATGAGGCCAAATTGAAACAAAATAGTTTCCTCAGTTCACAACATGATACTGAAATATAATATAGAAGTCTTACTTTTGAGGAAATGGTAAAAATGAAAATACAAAAATTGAGTGTTTACTATAGCCTATTTTTAATCTTAAAATCAGTAAGAAATTAATGGTCAATCATTGAACAATGATTTCTTATTTGTATGTAAGTATGTACGAGTATACTCAACTTTAATCAAACCTTTGGTTATTTGAATGACATGGATGACGTTTTTCAAGTTGCCCAATAAGTCGTTGAGTTAGTTTAATAATGATGGGAGCCTTATTATGAACAAATCAGAGATGTCAAGTTGGTATTTATATTCATAAGAGGAATGTTCAAATGTGGCAAGGAGGTTCGCAAACCGAAACAGCTATATTCTTGGCATATATACTAAATGCAGAATTGAATTATACCTGTCAGATATATACTTCAATAGATATTTATGTACCTAATGGGATGGGAAACACATTGTTTTGTGTGATGATGAGATTCTAGAGTTACACAAAATTTTGTTGCCTAACATGTTATGTACAATATGGTTTTCTTCTAACAAAAATAATTAATATTTGAGGAATATGGAAATTCTGTTCAGTAACTATGGGACTGTTTCTTGAGTAGTGATACAGTTGAGACAAATACAGAATAAGCGAGGGTTTCAAAACTAGTGAAATTGCAAATATCAAGTATAGAGCTTTGTCCAAAATTATACCAGAGGATCTTTTTGAAAAGCAATGTTCCTTTATCTTTCTTGATGTTGAATTATTTCTACAGGTTTTTAAGAACTTTTTCGATATCAATTCTCCCGAAATTCGAGGATAATACCTTGTATCTTACAATAAATTACCGAGAATCAACCTATTCTGAACAATTCTGCAAAAGGAACCATATCTCTGAAACTTGATATAACATAGATATGGGTGATTACAAAGTAGAGTATTTTGCAATATTCATGAGCATGTTGGCTCTAAAACGACCAATACTGAATGATGCAAAAAAAATTAAATCACAGTTTTGATATTGACAGAGATATACCTGTTGGAAGACAATAAAATAGAATTGAAATCAGTAAATTTCAAGCTTATGTAATTTTCAGTGAAACCAGAGGTTGAAAAATCAATTTTTGTTCATTGATTTTGTTTAATAATCGATATTGAGAGAGTCACATCAAAGAACATTATATGGTCTAAATTCAAAATTAATGAAGAAACAGCCTTTCGAAAACTGACCCGGTAAGTATACATCGTTTGCTTCGGTGGTTAAAAATCTGATAACTTGTTTCCCCTAACGTTATACGTATACCAAATACCAAATCAGGAATGGTTCAATTCTGAAGAGGATATGTTCATGTTATAATTATAATAAAATTAATTGGCAACAGAATTTTCTGTCTGACAAAAAGTCATAAAGTATAGGTAGGTACATTATTTGAAGATGTACAGATTTTTGTTCGCTCAACTACTTTCAAAAACTACCCACTTACATATCGGAGATCATTTTCTTCAAAAAGTGGTCGGCGATAGTCGTCTCAAATATTTCATTTCCTGAACATGATATATTATATATGAGATATGGCAGTACTTCTGACAAACGGTTTCAATATATCTTGTAAATATTGTTGTTTTTTCTGTAGAATTTCTCTTTAATTTCTAATACATTTTCATTTATTATTGCATTTTTGTATGAGTAGATGATATCTGTTGAATTTAATTGGTGTAGGTATCTATTTTTTAGACAATTTTTCAACAGAGAATTGCCATTAATTTCAATTTTTTTTTGGAACATGCTCATATTTGATTAACACAAAATCTCAATGAATTTCAGTTATCGATTATGGATTCATTCCTCACTGTAAAACTATAATGAGAAGGAATATTCTCAGATATATTTATGAACGCAAAAAATGTTATGAAACTATTATTTCTAAAAATTGTTCTATCCGTCATTCGGTTGCACCCTTACGAGCAACCCTTAGAAGTCTTGTGCGAGCTTGGAATGACGGGGGTCTTACCTTTTAACGTGTGATCCCAAACACTTTCTTGGGCCATCAGAAAAATTCCTGCAGTCGATGAGAATCGAATCCACGACCGGCAAGCGAATGCGGATTAGAATATTGACACTCTGTCCGCACGGCTATCTGGCCCCCCTTTCTCGGTTTATTCAACAGAAAACAACTACTTTCCTGGCTATATGCCACGACAAACATTGAATTACATCTATTGGACACACATGATAAGAATTTGAAAAAAAATCTTCTGAAATAGAGAATTTGCATTCTGTAATGTTTGGAATTATGTCATTTTGATGATTTTTCTCGATAACGGCTTTATATTAACCGGAAATGGGTTGAACGAATTATCTGTTTTAGTATTCCCTATGCTTGCCAAAAGAGGATTTGCAAGTTTCTCCAAAATCAAATTACAAATAAATTCCCTGTGAAGTTCACAAAACGCCATCTTGCATTCCATCAAATGTGGGAAAATAGTTTGCTTTATAATTTTTCTTGGATTTGCATTACGTGGTATGATTTTGAAAATTGCAATTAATACTTTCGTAAGAATATTCACGACATGAACAAATTCTCTGCTGGGATATTTGAGACCACCTCTATCTTGCAGATAAATCAGCCCCAGAAGAACATTATCATTCCTATGAGTAGATATTTGGTTCAAACACGCTTGACAATCCACTCTTTCCTCAATAGTTTTTAATATGTATCCAGACATCATCGCCACCGAAGCAGATGATATTCCGTACATCCTAAGATTATTAAAGTCAGTTTTGAGTTCACTCAATGTATACAGAATGTCTTCAGGAAGATCCAGAATTGTATCATCTGAAGACATTTCATATTTAGAAATAGTTGGACCTACACTCGATATTTGAGATGCTAGGTTGGCACCTTCTCCTGACTTTATTATTCCGCTTTTAATAATTCTTCTTAGAGCATAATGCGCGGCCCGAGCATCAGTAGCATCTTGAAACCCTCCCCCTTGCTTTACTTGGCTGAAAAGTGCCTCAACAGTATCAGAATTCATTCTTCTTGTAAGAACATAATAAAATCCATTATTCAATAAATATTGTTTTGACGGTACTTTCCGAAGTAAGAATCATCGCTTCCGCAGTTTCTTTGCTCAACCCTTTGACACCAATTTTTTTAGAACATTCTTGGATACTCTCAACATAGCAAGGAAAATCTTTACTAAGCCACTCGAGTCTTTCGTCATCTATATTCATGTAAGGGGCAGATAACGGATCCTTTTGTCTAATATGTTGAGTTGACTCATTAACGTCGAGAAGTTTGAAGAAAGTGTACATATTTTTCATATACTCGATTGATGCTTCACTATCAGAAAAGTTTTCATGGTTGTATTTTCCTAGGTATTCAATGCTGGAAGTTACTTTGGGAGAAAAAAGTTGAACAGCCCCTTTCACGTTCATTTTCTCGATATTTGTTGGCATTACGTGCTTACGAGTAAAAAAAGGTACTGGTTTAAGATATAATTTTTTTTGTAAATTATAAAGCTCTTTTATGTAATTGGCAGTAATAATTCCCGTTTCAGAAGCCATATCATTATTGAGAAATAAATTTCTTGCATTTTTTATAATGTGGCAATAATCAAAACTGAAAAACAATGGCGTATGAGGTATTATTGGGTGTTCTACCTCACTAACCAAATATCCATTACCAAATCTCTTGAACAATGCTACATTAGATTTATGGTTGTCTGTAACGATTCGTAGAATCCTAAACCCACACTCGTGGATCTGCTGAATAATCTTCATTGTCAATTCATAAAATTTCTCAGTATTTAACTGTCTATGAAAAAAGTATCCAGCTGGGATAGTAAGTTTTGTCGATAGCCCATGCATGACGAAGCACATCAATTGATTCGCCAAAACGGGTCTATCGCCAATTGGGCGATCAGTTGTTGTGTCCAACCCAAAGAATCTATCTTCTTTTCTAGCATAGGACAGTTTTTCCCTTATTTTCATATCATCTATGACTAACGAACAAACTCTTTCAATATCTGTCAGCTGTTGAGCTTCTGTCATTAGGCGCGTTCTTATTAAATTTGTTAACCCTATCTCCTCATTTGAACATCCCACATATCTGTCCAATGTGGATCGAGACGGAAGTCTCAGGAAACTTTTGGCAAAATAGTAACCCTTCGGAGATTTCGATTTCCACAACATGCAGTTTCGGATTGTAATTTCTGACCATAGGGGTCTTTTTTTACAAAAATTACTGATTTGGTCCATCACAAAAATAGCCGTGGGGTTTCCATTCCTACATTCCTCTTCTACATTTTTCAATTTATTGTTTTCCTCTCTGAATTTGTCATTTTGGCTTTGAAGATTTTTCAGAACTTCATTTTTTTTCAATAAAGTCTTTTTCAAGTATTGTTCACTAGCCTTCAGTTTTTTTATTGTCTGCTTCAGCAGTACAATTTCATCATGATCATCAACATTTGGGGATTCGGGAACTGGGGAATTTTCATGATGGTTAACATGGGATTCAGGTAATCGTTCGAGGGAAGGTTCATTGGAAGCTTCGACATCGAGAGCAGGGGTAGGAATCTACACGAAAAAATAAGATCGTAAATAAGAATCACCTTATATAATCGAGTTCATAGTTTAATCATATATAGTTTTGATGGGACTTGTATGAAATACGATTAAAAAGTTGAGCATGCACATGTGAAATTAAAAGAAACACAATAAAGCTTAATAATGTTCACAAAACCTAACCAGACATGACAATTCATTACAAAATGCACTATAAGCTAAAAAAGACAATGCATTACAAAATGCACTATGAGCTAAAAAATAGGCTAGTTATCAGCAAAACAATTATGGTATTGTGAATAATATAATCAATATAAGCAATTTTTGATTTTATTATTGTTAAAATAATTTTTTATCAACTTATGGAATGAAGAAGACTTTCCAAAGAAAACCATCTACATAGGCAATGATGTTGAATCTTCATGTTGATCTTTTTATTCTCAAAATGACGGCGGGACGATTTTATTCTCGGGGGGGGGGGGAAGGGTTGTAGGCCTATGAACGGTAGTCAAGGACAAAAATCCCACAATGGGAGTTGAGGAACTGATATTTGCCTCCCTTAAGGCCAAATATTCTGGGCCCCCTCTCCCGCCGCCAATGCAAATAAGAAATCCCTACAAAATGTTGCAATAACATTGAAATTAATTTTGTATTCTTTTGAGAATTGGTGAATTAAAATCTCACAAAAATAATCATACATTGAATCGCACTATATATACAATACAGGATGTCCTAATGAATAGTAGCCACAGGAACTATTCTGCACAATGGAAGAATAAATTTTCGATTTTTGCAGATAGATCCCTTTGTATTTTATTACATATCATGATGTTACATTTCCAGCACCATCAACTATGAATATAGAAGATCTAAATAGTCAGTGTGCCTATAGGTAACTTTATAACTTATTCAATGTAGGCTGGACTTCATGTTTCATGCCACTACACGGTATCCAAGCAATGTATTTTATGTATTATTATAATTATTGTACAAATTTTAAGGGTGACTTTCTGCATCATAACTGTATAACCAAAATATTAAATCTCTTTCATAACTGCACTACATATTGTCAAATTCATTGAAGGAACAATTAATCAAGATTGAAAACAGTAGCTATACATTCTTTCTTATCCTGAACTTTTCTTCAATGTCAAGTGATAATTCACTGTTTGAGCCATTTCATCGATAATAGATAGATAATTAAGATTCCTGATGTCTTTTGGTGAAAAAATTTCTAGACATTCCACTGCTAGTGTGAAACAAAAAAACGTTATAATTACCACCAGGGAGATATTGTTTGATTCCTCCAAAACCTCTTTGAATTCGCTCCTTTCTTGTACCTGAACCTGAGAAAGAAAAATTAAAAGATTCAGAGGAAAAATACTTTAATGTTATTAAAAGAAGATAGTATTCAAGAAGAAATTTGTATGAATATGTACCCCATGTGGGTATATAATCTGTGGTACCTTCCTATGATATGCATACATACTCCTACCAATAGTAATTGTTTTGAATAGATGGATAGATCAAAAGGCCATTGTTATTTTTCATATGGTTTTCTGAATTACCTACTCTATTATATCTTTAGAACATATTATTCAACTATAGAAGTGAGTACAGAATTCAGTAAAAAAAATTAATGCATGGTCACGAAATTGAATTTTTTGTTATATCCAGTATCTCATAAATAAATCTAAATCTACACAAGGTCTGAATGTTTGGGTAATAAACATATTGCTTCATATGGGGTGACATTTTTTAGTAGGTACCACCTACTATAATAACCCTTTTAATTTTTGACAGTAGAGAAAAATAAACAGCCCTGCAGAAGATTTTCTTTCCTCATCAAATCAGCTGAAATATTTTTAGTCTCTCAGAGAATATGAAGGGAACAAGAAAAAATGTATGAATTTTTTATGAATGTATATTTTGAGAGATATTGAATGTAAATTCATTGGGTGAGGTAATTTCAGAAAGCTTATTGAAAGGTCTTTCTAATGAGGAAATTTATGGGATCTTCTATTAAAAATTTAAACACTGCTTATTCTTGTTCCCTGTATATGTATATATTCTCTGGGACACTAAAAATTGATTTGATTTGATGAGGGTAATTATCTTGTGTAAGACTATATTTCATTCCTTATGTAAAAAAAATGAGTTATAGGGGGTGATACTTTTATTGGGTATTGAATGGCTGACTGTCAAAAAGCCTGAAACCTTACCACTGTTATTTATTTTTCCGAATTTAATAAATAAAAAAGAAATTGAATTGCTCCTCAAATATAATCATCAGGAAGCTTATTGATTCCAATCAAAACAAGTACCTCCTCATATAGTATCTGAGTGAGCAGTCATTCAATATTTCTTTGTTTAACAAAATCGGACTGTAAAAAAGGGCACTAGGGCTTGAGGAGATTTTGTAAACCTGTAAAACATCTCAAATTAAGGGCAAAGGTAAATCATTAATTTGCCATCCCGATTAATATCATCAATTCTTAGAAGTTAGACCTGCTCAGATTGGTTAAGGGTTGAATTATGTTTATGAAAACTATCTGTAGTCACTAAGTGTTATGGGTTATACTTACATTAGAGAACACCCAATCTGTAGTTTTGAATGTTTTCCCAGTGGATGTAGTGGGCATCATCCAGGCATCTGCAGGTTGCTAAAACATTTTAAACATCAATATTTTATGTTTCACAAAAAGATAAAAGCATTGTTGATAATTTCCAGACAATGCAGGGTTTACAAACAAAACTTCTTTTTTTATTTTTACAAATACTATTGTCATCAGATTAGCAATTCATTAACATAAGTATTTTAGCTTGAACATAAATCAAGTGCAACAATGGAAAAATATAAGACAAGTTCATCTGCTGATTCATAGATACTGAAACTAGTAATGTTGGGAACTTATTTAAAATTTGAAGATGTAATTGTAGGTAATTGAAGGTAATTGGAGGTTGAATCAATGCACATTGATGTATATTGGACTGAGGTTCACACTGTATAGAGAGCATAGACAAAAGTAGGAAAATCAAAAATTACAATACCTCCTCTTCAGTTGGGTGTATACTATTTACTTATTCAATACTACAAAATAAAAGTGTTACATACCTCAAATATTGTAGGAACTGAGCCTTTTATCAGGCGCTTCCTGCCATCCTGGAAAACTCTTATGCAGCTCTTCTCAAAATGATTTATACAAATACAAGAATATTCACCCACTTCGAAATGTTCTAATGCTAAAATAAATGAGTGATTATAACAATATCATCAAATAGGTCAGAGGTAAATCTACAGAACTGTTATTCTTACCCATTCCTTCCAAAATTGCAGAAAACCATTCATTTCGCAAACTAATATCACTGGGAAATTCAAACAAATTGATTCCATCCCTATTCTTCGAGGTACAAAAAGGAACGCTACAAATTTTGAACCCCATCTCAATAAGAAGTGAAAGATAGAAGGAATAGAACAAGGTCGTGCAAGATCTCAATAACTAACAGAAACAAGAATTTGAACTCACTACAAAACAAACTACAAAACCAATTAAAACTACTGTATTACACACTATTTAACTACTTAAGTTACTACAAGCTGGAACGAAAGCACAAAAGGAGAAAACTAATGAACACAACACAAGAAGGTTTGAAACAAACAACAAGAACTTTAACACACTAGAAATATTAACACTATTCACTACAATTACAACTACTAACTAATATTATGATAATACGACAAAAGAATGCAAAATAAGAAATATCAATGAAATTACAAGATTAGCTCAGCAGCGAAAGGCAAATGACAACATGTTTTGACATTTCATGAGATACATAACCAATAATTTGAAAAAATTCTCAAAAACAAATGAAATCTTTGAGATCACCCGTATGTGCTGCCATCCCAGCAATCATACACTGAACTTAGTGATTGGGCAGTCATGACATAGTCGGCAGCTTACTTGATATTCAGCCTTCATTGGTCCTGCACAGGCACAGGAGAAGTGGTTGACAGGTAAAAAACACAGTAGTGACCTTTCACAACAACTATGACATGAGACATTGTTTGGCAGTGTCTAGGAGCCTGTAAGGCGAGTGCATAATAACACTGCATGGCATCTCCCTTTCATTTCAAAATTTAACATTTTCAACTCATATATGTATACAACGAACTGAATTACGCACATCTACTTTAACCAATTACAATTTAAAAAATACAAACTACTACAAGTAAATATTTCCTACTCATTCGCTATTTGCTATCATCCTTCCCTTTTAAATAATTTCCTTTTTTCTTTTTTGTAAAAGAAAAATTCACTCAGGTACATGGCTAACATTAAAACATTTTTGTGCATCTTACTACAGGAATAAACATTTTTCAATGACTAGTAGAGGTGAACCTTCATACTACCTGATTATTCGGCTAACTTGTGAACAGTGGAATGACACTGCTAATTAAATGTATAGAAATTTTTAAATTTTCGTGGTTTCTTTACAAGCCTGCCTGACCTTGACGTTTGTGAAAAATTTTTATTTATCTCTGAATCTAGTTCTAAATCCGGAAGACAATTTGTAATTTCGTTATCAGAGGTACTAGTTTCTATAACATAATTTGTATTATGTGATAACAAGTCATTGGACACAGAACTTTCCTGTCTTATACTTTCATTGGGTAAATCTAACTCTTCGACTATACTTTGATGTCCTGCTCTACCATAATTATCAACTAAACTTTCATTTCCATCACTATATTACTAGATATATGTACAACTAAATACTGAGAGTCATTGCTATTCAAATTTTCACTTCCTAGGAAGTGATAGTCATTATTTACAGAAGGTGAATCGTACGAATTTTCATAATATTTTTTCAAGAACTTTCTATTTCTAATCAATACTGACCCATCCTCTGTAACAACTCTGTAAGAGCGAATACCTACTTTTTCCTGTACTAAACCTTTAACCCAACTTTTGCCAAACTGGTATTGAATTAAAATTTTGTCGTTAGGTTTAAGGTCTTGAAGGGTTTTTGTTCCCCTATTGTCAAAGAAATTTTTTTTGTCTACTCTGCGCACTATCTACAAATTTGTCAAATTTCAGTTTATTTCTCGTAGAAGGTAAAAATACTTTATTTGCTTTGGGCAGTAAGTCTCTAAGTGTTCTACTCATTAGTACATTTGCTGGTGAAGACTGCCCATCTAGCGGTGTGTTGCGATAGTCTAAAAGAGCTAGGTAAGGATCTTTTCTTTCGAATTTACATTTTTTCAACATATTTTTTATAGTTTGTATTGACCGTTCCAATTGTCCATTGGACTGTGCATATCTTGGGGACGAAGTAGCATGACTGAAGTCCCACTCTAGTAAAAAATTCTTGAAAAATTTACTCGAAAATTCTGGCCCATTATCTGAAACTACAATGCGAGGTATTCCATGTCTGGCAAATATTGATTTCAATTGGAGGATAACATTATCACTCGAAAGATCCGTACCTAGGTGTCCTACTTCTATGTATTTTGAATAGTAATCGACAACCAATAAAAAAGCTTCTCCCTCTAGTCTGAAAATATCACAACCTACTTCATACCAAGGCAACTTTGTTATGTCATGAGAAATCATGGGCTCAGAAGAATTGCTTTTCTGAAATCGCTGACAGATGTCACAGCTCATGACCACATCTTGAATTTGCTTATTCATTGAAGGCCGATAGAATGATAAATTAGCCTTTTCTATGCACTTTTTGATACCTTGGTGACTGGTAGAGTGCAATTTTCTAAGAATTTCTTGTCTCGCCGACCTAGGGACGATGAGTTTTTGTCCCTTATAAATTAAACCATTAGCTTCTGTGATTTCAGCGCGAAATTTGTAATAAAATTTAACATTTTCTGACACCTCTTTCATTTTATTTGGCCAACCATTTAAAACATAACTTTTTAGGACTTGCTGTTCAGGATCCTGATTGGCTAAGCCAGCTAGTTCACGTTTTTTATCTCCTGTTGCATTTAAATTCATAGAGACAAGGCATACCTGTGCTTCAACTTCTATGTCGATGTTTTCATTGAAGTGTTTGTTCTCAAACGCCCTACTAAGAGTGTCTGCAATGATAAGCTGTTTTCCAGGTTTATAAACCAAGTTAAAATCGTATTTTCTAAGTTGCAGTACCATTCTTTGAAGTCTTGCTGGACAAGAGCTAATTGGCTTTTTAAAAATTTGCAGCAGGGGGCGATGGTCGGTCTCTACAGTAAATGTTATCTGTGCAAAAACATACTGGTAAAACCGTTCGCACCCAAACCACACTGCTAAACACTCTTTTTCTATCTGTGAGTATCGTTTTTGAGTATCTGTTAATGCCCACGAAGCATGCGCACACGGACGTCCATCTTGTAAGAGAGTGGCTCCCATGCCATCCTTCGAGGCATCAACAGATATTGTTATATCTGTTTCAGCCAGCTACGCTGATGAATTATTAATATTCTTTATTAATTAAATACACTGCTGTGCTTTTACTTATTTTATTAGGAGCAATACAACACTATTGAAGTTTAGTCCTCTAAACATACATAGATTGAAAATACATAGTCATAGATATCTAGTCATGTCATGTCAACCTCTAAACGTCATTGATCACATGACACAGAACACTCTTATTGACAGTTAACCAACTAATACTAAAACCAATGATCACATACATTTAAGGCATGTATACACAACATTCTAATATGTGACAATATCTTTGTTGGCATCAATAAAACTTAGACAAGGTTTTTTACACAAAATTTCTTTCAGGGTATTGAATGATTTCTCGTGAATTTCCTCCCACTGAAATATAGCATCTTTTTTCAAAAGTAACCTTAAAGGAGCTGTTTTTTTGATAGATTATCTACAAACTTACCTACATATGTGACAAGCCCTAAGAACATTCGGATATCTTTTATATTTGAAAGCTTTGTCAACTTTTTTATAGCATCTATTTTGGCCTCATCTGGTGCTATACCATGCTCAGAGATTTTATGACCTAGATATTTCACTTCAGACACACAAAACTTGCATTTACTATTATTAAAACGAACATTATGTTCAGAAGCTCTTTGAAAAACCTCTTTTAAGATTTCATTGTGAGTATTAATATTATCAGAAAATATAAGAATGTCATCAAAATAAACTCCACAACCTTCTATTCCCTCAAATATTTCAGACATTCGTTCTTGGAAAACCTCAGGAGAACATGATATTCCATAGGACATCCGCAGAAAACGGTATTTACCTAACCCGCCTGCACTAAAGGTGCATAGCTTAGAACTTTCTTCATCTAAATGAATCATGCTGAAACCCTGAGTTGCGTCCAACGTACTAAAATATTTACAGTTAACTAGCTTATATGTTAGTTCGTCATGGGTTGGTATTTCAAAGTGACTTCTCTTAATAGCTCGATTTAGATCTTGAGGATCTAGACAGATTCTCAAAGAGCTATTACTCTTTCTGACAATAACAATGGAATTCACCCAATCAGTGCTTTCATCAGTTTTAACAATAATTTCATCTTTTTCTAACTGACTTTAATTTAATGTAACTTCTTTTAATTTTTTTTGCAAAGCAGATCGGATTTTCCTGGGAGCATGAACTACTGGGTTGCAATTATCTTCAAGCTCGATGTGATATGGCTTTTGCAGAGATCCTATACCTTGAAATAAAAACCTATACTTTTTTAATAGGGAATCCGAATCACAACAATTATCATTAGTTATGACACTTACTTTTTTAATTAGGTTCAATTCTATGCAAGCTTTCAGACCTAAAATTGGTTTACTCTTTTGGTTTACCACATAAAATGAAAGAAGTGACTTAATATTGTGACGTAGGGGTATGGGGTCGTAGCTATGGTAGTTTAATAACTAGATCAATGTCGGCAAAAAGGGTGTATTGGGGAGTTGACTGATAGATGTTACAAGTTATGTGGTAGCAGTACAACTGAATTGTTAATTATACAAAATGCATTCACATTGCAATAAATTGATTGACGTGGGCTTGAGCTGCGTGGTCTCCCTCCGTGCCCCGCACGCTGAGAATCCTGCTGACTCAGGACAGCACACCGCCGTTGGTTGAGTGAAGGTGGAAGCATGTAGCAGGTACAGGGTGTTCTGCCTAGGAGGGCGCTCTCGCGACACTCCCCACCATCGATAAATGTCGACCTCGACATTTGACCAACCCAACGACGAAGTACTCTTCAACGTTCGGAACCATCGGGGACGACGAGCCAACCACTAGAACATAAAAAAAAATTACGCAGACACATGCTTAAAAGTTTCACAAAATACATAAATACACATTCTTTATGCCTTCATTTATTTTCACCCCTTTTTGCCTCCTGAAACTATTTTACAAGATTCACGACTAATGCAATACTGCATAGTCGTCGCATTACACCGCGAAACTTAACTCTATACGAAGTGTAAACTTCACCTGAGTGTACAAATAAAAGTAAGAGTAATCTTCCCCCAAAATACATACTCTTGTGTCAAATTCACAAAAAACATGTGTTTTTCTTAAAATTACTTCTTCCCTTTCATACAACTTCCGCTTCCGCATACATACACCATTCATCCTATAATTCATACGTTTTTTCCTTAATTCTACTACCTAAAAATCTTTTTTTTTTCTCCGATCATAATCCCTTTTTTTTCTAATTCTACTGCTTAAGGCCCCTTTTCTTAATCCACTTGATCAAGATTTCATTTTCTAAATTCTGCTGAGCTCAGTTCTTCAAATTTATTCTTGATTTTTAGTTCCCGATTTATGTATTTCTTGTAGCTGTACCTATTTGCCTTTCTTTAACCTCATTGGTTTCTCATCTACTTGACCTACTTCCTCCAATTTATTTTTATTCGATGACTTATTGCGTTCAACATCTTTTTGATTTTCTTGGCTTTTTGAAAGAAAATGATAGATCAACCACAAAATA